AGGCACCAAATACTTTTTACATGAAAATCTTACTTTGAAACGTTCGGAGTTATTTCAAGATATAAAGACCAGGCATGCTAAATCAATTAAATCTACCTGGACCTTAGACGGAAAAATCTTTGTACTTACCAACAGCATGAAAAAATTAATTATTTGCACTCGGCAGGATCTTTCCCGGCTTCAGCAAGACCTGAAAGCTTGAACTGTACAATGATATCTTCTTTGACCTAATAGTGTTAGGTCAAACTGTATAACATAACTAACAATGTAATCTAAGTGTATCGTTAGACAATGTGTACCACCGTTTACATGTTTCCTCAATTACATCTATTATATGTATATATACATTTTTACTTGTTTGTTCACCTTGTTTGCTCTTTCTTTTCTTTATTCTTGCTTTCTTGTCAACGTCTTCTCTCATACAAATTTAAATATAAACGATAATGAATTTTTGTATCTTCCATTGTCTAATCAACCATCTGAGGAAAACGATTGAATGACTCAAATTTTAATACTTCTGAATATACTTTTAATCCCTTTGTTGATAATGATGAAAGATATGATGATCATGCTGATATGTTAATTGATCACCTTAACACAAGATCTACTACACTTGATGAATGTAAATACTATAATATAACTGAACTTAACACACTGCATGCTACGCTAAAACAATCCAATTTATCTCTATTACATATAAACATTCGGAGTCTCGTTAACAAAATAGATGCATTTGAAAAGCTCCTAAATTAAATTCATACTAAGTTCTCAGTAATCGGGCTATCTGAGACCTGGCTAAATGATAACAAACCGTTGCCGTTTTTACATGATTATACCTTTTTCGCAAGTAATAGACAATCACACGTAGGAGGAGGGGTGGGATTATTCATTCGTAACGAATTTAATGTTCGTCTTCGCCCTGATCTTGCCCTCCCGAAAGAATTTGGTGATTCTATATTTATTGAAATAATACTTAATACAAAGAAAAACATAATTATTGGCACTGTATACAAACCTCCTTGTACAAATATTATTAGTTTCTCTAAACTTATTAATGAATTACTAACTAAAATTAATATGGAAAATAAAATATGCCATCTTATGGGAGATTTTAATATTGATTTGCTTAAATTCCACAACCATAACTTAACCAATAATTACTTAGATATTATTTTAACTCATTCATTCTATCCAACTGTTTCCAAAGCAACTCGTGTTACTTCAAACACTGCAACACTAATAGACCACTTTTATACAAACGAAACTGAATCTAGTATAGTCTCTGGTGTTCTGGTTTCTGATATCACTGATCATTGGCCTATTTTCCAGTTTATTGATAATGATCTAGATAAACTAAAACCCAGGAAAGCTTCTCCTTTATTATTAATGATATGAATTCCTTTTGCAATAATTTATCTTAAGTTGACTGGTCTGATGTTTACAATAGTGACCCAAAACTTTCTTTTGATATCTTTCTTGACAAATTCTTTTCCGTTCATAGTAAGCATTTAAACGCTAGTCGAAAAAAGAAAAACAAAATTCATAAAAAACCCTGGATGAGTTCTTCACTCCTGAAATGTAGTAAACGAAAACACAAATTATATACAAAATATATTTTTTCGCAAAGTTCTAAACACAAATTAAACTACACTAAATACAATAACATCTACAATAGT